TTATTATTATTATAATAATTATTATTATTATTATTATTATAATTATTACTGATTTCGCCAGAGAAATAAATTCTAAGTCTAAACTCTACGCACTTGAGATTCGTACTATTATTATAATTTTAGAGTAAAGAAATAAAATTTTTAAATAAAAAAAGGCATTGGAAAATTAGTGATTTGCATGCATTCATTATGCCGAATATGATTGACTGATTTAAATAGTTTTCTTTTAAAAATTAAACATTTTTAAAATTTTTAAATTTACTAATCTACGAAATTATTAATTTTTGGCATGGTGTACATCGACACGGAAGTTTGTATTCGCTGTGTGTATTTTATTCCTTGCTAAAGATCTTCCATTGTATTGTATTTTAGGATAAATCATGATTATTACAAGCAGAACTTCCATTTCGCCTTTTTAGCAGAGCTCATGACTAAAGCGTTGTTACTCTTTGTATATTTTTCTTACTTATTACAAGCAACTTTATGCACATTCTCATTCGTTTTGTTTACTTTTGGTGTAAAAAAATGGCCGATTAACGGTTTTCAAAAGCCAAAGCATTTGAGAAGTGAAAAGTGCAAAAAGAAGTGAAAAAAATTTTCTATTTACTATATTAAAGTGAAAATTTTATATAAACATTGTATTTTAATTCATTTCAACAAATTAAATTTCATAATTGTAAGTGAATTCCTTTTTTGCTTTAATTTTGTAATTTAAGTGCATGTCATCGGCATCTCGAGAAGCATTTATTATCATCTTTATTTGGTGGATCATTATTTAGCACTGATCAGGATATCGATTTGCTTATTTAAAACCAAAAAGTTTAAATTATTTTATATATTTCAGTTTATTCAATTTGTTCTCTTCATACTATTGTCAGCAACTATTGAAAATATAGAAAAGTAAAAGTGCATTTTAGTGTTGTGTTATCCATAATATATTAAAAATTAGACATTTTTTTAGTATTATTAACCAGTTCTGATTAACCAGTATCTGAAGATTTAATTTTATAGAAACGGTGTATTGTACAGAATAGGGTTAGAAAAATGTAGTCCTTTTATTAATACGTGCTATTGACTCGCAAAAATATCATTCAAATGCATTGAACTATTTGGAGAAATTGCTGTTGGTAATTTAAAAGAAAACTATAATAAAGATTCAGTTTCCAAATGGATTGGTCTAAAACTGAAAATAATTTGTGAATCCAACAAAGTATTGTATTCTTCCATCAAAATTTACATTGATGACGAGACACCTGTTGTCTGTTTTTATATCCACAATTGGTGGCTTATAATAACCATGAAAAGATTCAAAGTCGATTTGGTAATTGTCCGTCCGTTCGTCCAAATGATTTAAACCAATTAAACAATTCGAAGCTATGAATTTAAGAATATCTTACTGAAATATATTTATCGGAGAACGGAATTGAACGAGTCGAGAATTTAGATAATAATGTTCAACTTAATAATAACAGTATTGATAATTGGGAAATGTGGAAGTTCTTAAAGAAAATAAATCATTAAAAGCGGTCAATTTGGAACACAATCCCGTTGCCGGTATCAAAAACATATCGCCATGGTTGGAAAAAATTGATCCTACTCTTTGTTGATAAAATTTAAATTTTAATTTTACTCATGTACACCCACAAAAACATTGTTGTATGTAACAATTTGAATTTCCTTGCGTTTATCGCTATTGAGAGAGAATTCGCTATTATTATATATTCTACTTTCCTTGGGGAAAGTAGTGGTGTTGCATCAACATCAATTGACATATTGAAAAGTCCACACATATATGGAAAACTTATTCATATTCATGTTAAAAGATTAGTTAGTAATTCTTAGTATGAGGATTTTGAGTTGGGTTCAATTTAATTATGCAATATCTGATTTCTGCCTTCAAATTATGCAGTAACAAGACAGCATTAGTAGTAGAGTAATCAAAAGAACGAGAAAGTTGTGCAATATTAGCTTTTTGATTTTATCTCCATGAAAAAATGTAATTAAGTTTTTCATCATATCTAAAATTTGTGTATAATATATGTTTGACTGACTATCATTGTGCTTCTTTCTATTGCTGAGCACATTTTGTAGATGACTTAGACAAGATGGCAAGATGAGTTATAAGAAACTAAGAAATAAGTTCATTAAGAAATAAGTTCAGAAGTTCATAGGTTATAATCTGAAAATTAGGCATGCAGTGCAAGCGTATTTCTGTTTCCGATTTGCGTTTTTTAGAATCTGTTTTTAGCTATTTCCACTTTTGTACCTACGCATTGGGCTGTATGTTAAAACCACAATTGTCTTAAATGTTGAAGCTTTGCCTGAAATATGGGATGGAATTTAAAAAATCTCCTCTTTTTATTTTCATCAAAAAAAATTTCAAAATCAATTAAATCGGTTTTTAAATTTGCGCACAGTTTTCAAAATTGTGAGACTTGTAGTTCTGTCCGAAAAGTGCTAATTTTCATGCTTTCTTATCTGAATTCAGTTTTACTTGAATCATATTTCGAAAAGTTCGCCATGGGCTTATAAATTAATCGAAAGACCCAGAATATCGTTTAATACGAAAAGAGTTTTAGCCAATCGGAATTGTATATCGTCGCAATTATGATCTGAAATTTTTTCCAAAGAAGATTGTACAAAGTTCAAAAAAAACGATAAAGAGATTTAATTTAACAAACGAAAAGAACTTACCAAATCTAACCACGCAAGTCGATGCATGGTTAGATGCAAAAAATTGTTTTATTGATCTTTTTCGTATTTTACATTTTTTATTTTATATTAGCTTGCTAACTTTTTTTTTTTTTTTTGCGTTGAGTTTTTGTATGTCTAAGCCGTTAATAATTTTCGAAGAAATTGTTTGTCGATTTTGTTTTATACTTTGGGGTATTAGACTTTTCTATCAAATGTTACACAATTTTTATATATGTATAGTTTTAGGCGATTCGTTTCGGATTAATATTTAATTTTTTGACGGGCGTCGATCCCCCATATATGTAGATATTTATTGTGAACTAATTAACTGATATATGTAACCCATATGTAATTTAAATATATAAAAAAATTACTCATATTTCGGGACAATGAAACTACATGGTTTTCGACAATTATTCCTTTAATTGTTATCGTTTATCAAGCAATCAATTTCAATTTATAGAATTAATTCGCACATTTTTTATAGAAATTCCTTAAATTCACTAAATTTCTTGTATTACTGATTAAAAAACAGTATTGAGGTTCCTTAATAATTCACCATTCAATGCACTTGTGAATTTTTAAATGTATCTATATATACAAAGCACTGAATATTAAGTTATCAAAAAAGTAAAGTTTTCGTGAACTGATTTGAATTGAGTTATTTTGAAAAACATATCGTATTTTCCTTAGTTATCCAAGATTTTTTAAGCAAAAGTTATAAAAAAAACAAGCATATACATAAACAAAAGAAAAAAAAAACGCAACAACTTTCAAAACAATACCCAAAACAATTATTATCGTCAGCAAAAAGAATGCAAACAGTACCTCGTTATTGCTGTTAATATTATTGCACACTAAAATCATATTAGTATGAAGTGAGCAATTTTGAATAAATGCTTTGAGAAATCCCTTGAAAGCTGCTTAACACGTTCGTGGACGTGAATGCTACAGCATTCATTTTCATAGTGATGCAAATGACGTGAATGCTACAGCATTCAAATTTTAAAGCCAATTTTTGTTCATTTAATTTCATGTAACCTTAAGTTTTTGTAATTAATATACACTTCAAAGTAATGACCAATTGCTTCATTAGGTACTTTCTTACTTTTTTTATTTTTCTCCGTGTATTCAAATGAAATTTTATTATAAAATACTAAAAATTAAACCCCATTGCCATATAGAGACTTAGATATTAGTTCAATGAAAAAGAGCTCAAAGAGTAGTCTGCAGTAGCACATAGCACAGATAAATAGATGAAATTTATCATTACTTGTTAATGGAATTTAAGCTGAAAATAAATTTAACCTTACCTTGTGTGCGCAAAAGATTGATTGAAAAAAGTCTACGTTCTCATACAATGTTCATCGATTTATTCGTCTTGTCGGTCATCTTATAATAATTTAAATATCAATTACTTCCGCATTTTCAAAGCCGTTAACTGCAATTTTAATACGATACGAATTAATGCACTCGCTGAGGTTTCGATAATCTTTTAAAGCATAAAAGTCAATTTTATTTTAAACACTTCGGACAACGGCTTTGAAAACACGTTGTAACAAATTAGGAATGTAATGAAATTAATCGTTGAAGAATTAATGCGTTTAAAAAATTCATAAGTAAAGAAGTTCTGAGTAGTTATTCTTATTACAATTGTTTCAAGTTTCGTTCAAATATTTTTCCGGGCCATCCATCAATGCAATAACCGACGTAATCGATTCCATGCAATTAACTAGAAGATAACCTTGGCAACTCCAGCAGATTGGAATGTACGCTTCTTTTTATTGTAACCGAATTCATGGCTAATGAAGTTTTAAACATTTCCTTCTTCTTAGCAAGAAAAGACTTGTATGATCTTACCTACTCTTTCCAACGAAGAACCTTCAGAAAAGTATCCTAAAGGCCTCAAAAGATTCAATGTACTTCCTTACTGCATATGAAATATCAATCTCCTCTCAATAAACAAAATAACTTCAAATCAATACAATACCATTTGTGATTAGTCACATCTATAAATTGTACACAAAATAGTTTAATACTGTCCGAAATAAGATAATTATTTAAACTTTTGCATTTAAATTATTATGATTTTCGAAAATTATTATTCCTTTAAATGTTCATATAATTTTTAAATTCAAATAAATCGTTTGCTTTAAAGGGAACCTTCAGATGATAGCTCTGAAGAAGCTTTCATCAACCTCTACAAAACAGTGCTTAATAATTAACTATTATTTTCTTCTCAGGTTACTATTATTATTATTATTTTTCTTATTACTATTATTATTATTATTACTATTACTATTACTA